TTCTATCTGTGAGTTAGTCGTGCCTTGACTTGATCAATCCAGAAGTCGTTTCACAGTTCTATCTGTGAGTTAGTCATGCCTTGACTTTGATCAACCCAGAGGTCGTTTTAATTTTCTATAAAATTGAAAGGTCTTAATTGTTAAATAAAAGTCCTCTTTCTAGAATGAAATCAGTTTTTATTACTCTTCTCATCTAATCATTCCTATCATCTTTTTTAAACCATAGTAAGTAAGCTTTTAATTAAGTGGGATTCAACAATTTGATAAGCATAAGCCTACAAGAGTCTCGGAGCGAAAACAAAAAACCTTTGAACTGATTGTACATGCACCATTAATCCGAAAATTAAAGATTTCAGTTAGCTTTTTTCATTGCTTTTTTTTCTTCATTGCTATCACCTTTTTGTTCTAAAATAAATCTGGAAATTACCACTCTTTGTGTGATTCTTTTAGTGGTTCCTTTTTGATTCATGAAAAGTAATAATCACATCACAGGAGATATTCTTTTCAATTAAAAACAACACTTGTAAGAAAATTAATTTTGACCCCACAAGGAGTAGTAAAGTAACTCATGCTTAGTACAGAATTAGTTTATGGATGCTTTCTACATTATGATTAGATCGTCTTCTAAGTGTACTTTTCTTATCAGTCGAATGTTAAACATTGATGTACCTCTTAAATAGAATAGGACAGTCCTCGTTAGAAATATACTTGAAGAAAGATTCTATCCCTAGATTTCTCAATCTGTATGCTTTTTCTATTCCCCTCTCTCTTTCCTTTCCTTCTTTTCTTTTCTCTTCCTCTCTTTTCTCTTTCTTTTCTCTTTCATCTGTCCCTTTTCCCATTTTCTTAACCTTATTCACACCATCTTACATCTTAGCGACTCAATTGTCTCTTTCGCAATTCGACCAATGCAACAGGATGGATTTTCACTTAATCGGCTCATCTTAAAACTATTTCAGGCCCGTTTTAAATGTTCATAAGCAGGGACGTCGGAGCGTTATTTTTAACGGACGGGGGGAGGGGG